GAAGAGGTATGATGTTGCGATGTTGCGAAAGCTGGGACTCTAGGGTTGTAATATGCAGTTCCATCTTAGAATTGGTAGTTGGACCAATAGCATTTACGTTTCGCTTTTTTCTTCTATTAAACTAGCGTTGTTGCACTTGTAGCATGCTGGTTCCTGAACACAAAAGACAAAATGGAATAATCAGAATTTTAGAGTCAATGTTGGTAATTATTATAATAGTTGGTGATTTTGGAGGAATTAATAAATATTGGTACTTTTCAAAACTAAGCAAGATGAAAAGTTGGTAAGTGACTCAAATAGTTTATAAATTAATACGAGGAATGTTGGTAATTAGTCAAATTTAGTTCGGCATTATCTGTTAAATAATGAAATTGGCGAGCAAACGTATTAATGACGAGGAACATGTTTTCTGCAATGCAACTGATAGTTTCATTTGCTTTGCTGTTTTGGCCAGCTGTAGTAGATGGCTATTCATATTTTTATTCTGTGGAATGGGTTATATAGCAGGAACGATTATTGTGTATGAGGTGTTGTGATTATGCAAGACATGGTGCAACTTTGCTTCATACCCACTTCTATCTTAGTATATATCTGCCTTGGATAGCCATACCTTCTATGCTACTGACTCGTAAGGTTTGAAGTAGTTTAAAGTAATGACCTCTTTACCTTTCCACCTTCTTTTCTTCGTCCTCCTTAGATGAGTAAGTCGCAACCTTTTGTGTGCTCTACAGGTTCTGAATGGATTGCTTCGTAGGGATAATCAGAAAGAAGGAATTTCCATACCTATGGGAATAATACCTGCTGGTTCTGATAATTCACTTGTTTGGACTGTTTTGGGAGTCAGGGATCCAATTTCTGCAGCTTTAGCTATTGTGAAGGTATCGCTTTCTTTTCCCTATGATATTATTTCCAAACACAACTCATATTGTCATGAAATTTACTTATGCACTGATTGGTGGCATTGACATGATCGACTCAGTGTATGTATATATTCCCATATCTCTAACCATTTGTGAGTTTGTACGTGTGTTCATTTTGGTATGATCTGTGCTCTCCAGTCTCTGTCTAGATCTCCATATTGCTGCTTTATTCCCCTTTCTTATTTATGTCAAGAGTTGACCGTTTAATGTTTGTGATAATGCTCAATCCACTTTCACAAAGCCATTTTTCTTCTCTCATGTCAGCTTCAAAGTGACTCGCACGCTTAACATTTATGTTCTTCCCCACCTCTCTTTTCATGTAAATACTTGTCATCATGTTTTTAGCAAAAGAAAATGAAATCCACATTTCAACATGCTGCGTTGACCACCTGAAATGATTTCAAGGAATGAGATTTTTTTACTTGATGTATCACTAGAGCACTATGTGCTTTAATCGAGAGCATTATTTCCCAAACCTTGGATCACTTGAACTGGCTTTACTTCTTGTAGGCTTCTGAAGGTGTTCTATCATAATAAAATTTCCTGCGAAACATATGAAGTGCTTTACTTTAGTGAGTTGTAATGGTTATAATATCCACTGATTATGACCAATTGAGATTTTTGGAGCTAAAATGTGATATATCTATTGAGCAAACTCAAAAAATAGCTATTAGCAAATAGACTTTTTAAGTTCTGGAAGCATGAATTTTTTAAGCACGCAGGAGCATATTTTAATGTCAATAGTAATACCTACAAGAGTATTTAATAGTGCCGGGTTGTTTGAATGAGTGAACCAGCTTTGTACAAAGTGATGTTTATTAATGTTTTTTCCCCTGCAGTGCTCTTGAGTGAACTATATTAGGAACTTCAATTTCTTTCTGGCTTAGAAATTTGGAATTATTTATTCAAGTATCTGTTCGGTTTTTGCAATGTAGTTTTTGGGTATTCGTTCAAATTATTGTGCGGCTTTCTCTTGCTCTTGAATAAGATATATTTTTTTTATTGTTTCAGGGTGGTTTAACTGCTACAGATGTTTTTGCTGTCGAATGGCTTCAAAATGGTGCCATTCACTTTGGCATGACTTGTGCGTACTATGGTTTCGTCAGTGATGGTAATTCATGTCACTCGGGTCTACAGTCTCCAACTTTTCTGTTCCACTACTGTCATTAATTCTTAACTGCTTGGGATGGTTCAAACTAAAAAGCAGAGAAATTATATCCTTCAAATGCTTGTATGTCCTCCTCCTCCGTTATGTTTTTTCCTTGATGCCCAATGGATATGGCCAAAATAGGCACGTATTTCAAATCACCTACCTACATCTCTAGTTCACAATACCTCCTCTCTCTCTCATGTAATTACAATTTCGCTCATTTAACTCAAAACTTGTCACTAACAAATGGTATTCTTCTTTTCAGTGTTGGAGCTGTCCGAGAAATATCAGAAGCGCTTTGGTCCTCTGCGTTACTTTGTGGCTGGTTTCCTGAAGTTCCTTTGTTTGCCAAAATACAACTATGAAGTGGAATATCTTCCAGCATTGAAAGAAGATCAGGAAGGAAAGCTCTCGACTGAACATGAAGCATTTGACATGTCAGACCTGTACAATGACATTATGAGAAGGTCGAGCAAAGAAGGCATGCCTAGAGCATCCAGCTTATCAAGCATTGACTCAATAATGACCCCAAGCCGGATGTCTGGTGGAGATCCGGATACAACCTGCAGTAGCACTCATGCTAGTACTGAACCATCCGACTATGTTCGTGGCATAGATCCGAAATCCAAACGCCTGTCATCCGGAAGAAACAATGTTACGGCTGAACCAGAAGTTATTCATCCCCAAAACCCCCTGTCAACAACTCCAAACTGGCCGAGGACAAGGTCAAAGTCAAGGACAGATAGAGGATGGTCTGGGCTGCACGCTACACATGATCGGACATGGGGAAATGCTGTGACAAATGATAAGGAGGATATTTCATCAACAATGTCTGATCCTGGTCCAATTTGGGATGCTGAACCAAGGTGGGCCTCTGAGCCTAAATGGGATGTAGAAAACCCAATAGAACTGCCTGGGCCTCCAGATGATATAGAAACTGGAGTTAAGAAAGAACTCGTACCTAGATGTGAAGAGAAGTGGGTAGTTTCTAAGGGACAGTTTCTTGGCATATTGGTGTGTAACCATGCCTGCCGAACTGTTCAGAGCTCTCAGGTGGTGGCACCAAAAGCGGAGCCTGATGACAACACCTTAGATATGCTTCTGGTTCGTGGAAGTGGGAGGTGGAGACTCTTGAGATTTTTCATGCGTCTTCAGATGGGTGGACACCTTGATCTACCGTATGTTGATTACATAAAGGTACATGCACACTAATCATCTTTTCTTCTGGACTAAACATTTCTGCTGTCAGCACTAGGTTGTGTGAATCTCTTCTATTTTTTTACCTTCATATTTGTATTCGTTGGTTTCTTTTGACTTGTCTTTTTTCCAATCCGGTTTTGACAGCAGGGGCTGGGAGAGTCAGGTGGAATAATGGGAAAAAGTTGAATGAAAATGCCTGCGTATATTTAGTTCAAAATTGAGGGTTTTTCATTAATGTAAAATCTGTCTGTACCCTTCTGCACGCAAATTGAGACAGGCTGCAATTTGAAAGCATTGGGATGATCCAGGATATTGTTGTAGTGCATGGTGCATTGGCAATTAAAAGTTTGGTACTCTGAATATTCATATTGGGTAAACGTTTGCAGTCTATGCAGTCTGTTGGCGAATCTTCATAATGTGTTATCGCAAAAGTATAAAAAGGACGAAATAAATCATTAGGGGAACCAAAAGTGCTGCAAATCCCATCTTAGGAAAATGAGCTGGTGACTACACACGTTTACACATCTGATATAGGACTTCTTTTGTCCACATACGTGTTCTGAGTAGTTGACAAGCGAAGTTTTCGTCCTCTAGTGGTTTCTCCTCTAATTTAGAATATATTAAATTTACCTAAGCTTTCAATGAATGCAGGTAAAGTCGGTGAAGATTAAAGCCGGGAAGCACACGCACAGTGGCTGTGGCATTGATGGAGAGCTCTTTCCTCTCAATGGACAGGTCAAATCTTCTTTGTTTCCAGAACAATGCAGACTAATCGGTCGCTTCCCGAGCCATCACATATAATAATAGCCGAAGGCTCCTTTCGTATTCTTTTGCTATGATACCAGGGACTTATGATCTCAAAATTTTGTCAAAAGCATGTGCCATTTCCTCTATACATATCAGGGACAATCTTCTCTTCCGCTTCCCAATTTGTTTCTCCCAGTCAAGTCCCTGTAAATTCTGTGTAATGTAAACAGCTGCCCATTTTGGTTTGACACTCCACCTCTTCTCTCGATGTGTACGGATGTCCCATGTTTTTCATATGGGTGCGAGCTGGTTAACGTGAACGTGTGAGAAATATATGTTACTTTCTGCTGCGATTCAGTTTGCTCCGCTAAACATGGATTGTAAAGCTTTTGGTTGTTTTATCTCCTACGATATAATCATCCCCTATAGTACTTCTGTGGTACTTCTAGTTTTTCTCCGAAGTTGTCCTTTCTGTGATCTATGTCCGGTGGAAGCTGTCATTCAAAGTTCATCTGAAATTCCAAGGGAGTGACCAAGAAAAACTGCGAATTGCTTATGACCTTGCTCCTGTAATCTGTATTGAGGTGGCTGTGGCGAAGCAAGGTCTGACTGGTTATTTAGCCATGTCACTGTCGGGTTCTAAGGCGTTGCTTGTTAGTATGAGCTTTGTTAAAATGACAATTGTTCCTTCTCTCATCTCCCTTTGTTTCTTGTTAAAGGAGGATTAACTTGTGCCAGAAATGTGTGAGGATATTGCTTGAAGAATCACTCTCGTTTTCTATTTTCGAGTTTTTGGTTGAATGACTCTCCTCCAAATACTTGATGGAGATGAATTGCCCCTTTTCACCGTGCGACGGTCAAAAGAGCGCGACAAACAAATTTCTATTTCAAAGGACATGACAGACCGTTCATGGCCACTGAATCTTCCACGGTACACGTACAACTGTGTGGACCGATGGGCTTACCGGCTGCGATCATTAGCAAGTAGTAGGTTTTAGGAAATTGGCGCAAAATTGAAACAATTGCATCATCTTTAGGAGATGAATAGGTTGACTACAATTCTGACTTTGAAAGGGGCACAATGTGAAGCCGACTTACAAATTGTAGGAGGCAATGCATGGTGTTATCTTTGATTTCGGAAAGTCAGAAGGAGAACCATCTAACTCTATGAGGCGAGGATTGTTGGTTAGATTCAACCCCAAAAGATTGTTAGTTCACAGCTAAAAGTATCAACTTCTGTTCTATACAATCTTGGTCACATACCAATTCTCATTGCTTGAAATAAACCACAACACATTTCCTTTTGAATTCAACTCTCAATCCTCTTTCTTCTCCATCACCTTCTCCTTGCCCCCTTTTCATCTTCTCGGCACGCATGCTCACTCTCCGGCTGTCCCCGGCCTCTGCCTCTCCGCTCCCGAGGATCTGCTCGGGGCGGAGGAGGTCGACGATATCCTGCGAGGTCGCGCTCAAATCAGAGCACAAGCCGTCCTCGGTCTCCTTCAAGAACGATGTCGCCCCGTCGCCGGACCCTGCGAGGATCGGGTCGAGGGTCAGGGTGAAGGCGCCGGTGAGGGTGTACCACGTGCCGCGGGTAGCGGAGCTGGAGCTGAGCGGAATGGAAGGTGAGGTGAAGCAGAACCTGATGTTCTGGAGGGGCAAGAGCCTGACCGCAAATCGTCCCTTCAAGGTGGAGTTTGTGAGGGATGTGGAGGGCCGGGGGCTCGTCAAGTTCGTGGCGCACCTCGAGGAGGATGAATTCGAGTTTGTTTGATTGATTCGTGCTAAAAGTTGCCGATTGCAACTGCTGTAAAAAACAATAAACTATTGCTTGAAGCTTATTCTATTGCATAAGACTACATAATTTACGTTGCTTTGGTGTACCAAAATGGATAGCAGTTGTCTTCTCTCTTTCACACACACTCATATCGAATAATTCAACATAAATATATGCGTGTTATTTGTGATTTTGCAAAAAACAAAAAAAGTGCCGGTAGAGAGTTTGAATATAGTTTAGTGTCGTCTTCCCGAGGTTGGCTGAATCGATTGGGGTTCAAGAACCGGACGGAGGTCGCCTATTCAGATCTCCGATTTTCGAGACGGAGGGGTGTAATTTATTTCTCTTCACAATGCAAACGCGAGATGACATCGATGTGCTTGCGGGATTAGGAGAAACGAAAGAGAATGTTACTATGTTCACTGCCCTAAGATGAACGCTACGGTTCTATATCCAAGACACTCGTTAATCTTTGAAGAGACCCCTCTAGAGAGATCATGAATTGTGATGACGCACGATAGAAGGCATGCAGTATTCTTCTGTGGCACTGTGAAAGTACATAGCCCTATTACTTGTATCAACATGACACGAGATATAAATGGTATCCCCATCTTGCTTTTCGAATCATGGTAAGTACACTAAAATGGATTGCTTTTCGAATCTGGGATCGAACTGCGGGCTAAACTGTCTCGAACCCCATCCCGTCTGTGACCACCGGACCGACCACCCGAGGGCCGAGACTCAGTCATCTGAGTTGATGAAATTTGGATTTATGTCTCGGGAAGCCTAAGTATAGGAAGGTATCTCCTCGGAAGTCTCCCTTATCTTGCACTTGATAATCTGTCTTTTGGTGGAAGGAGATTATGCACACATGTTATCTCACGTTATAACTTAGAACAATGGCATAAAAGAAAAGTTTATCCTTAACGAAGGGTTTCTTAGGCTCTTTTCGTTTTGTGAAAAATATTACGTTTTTGGAAAATTTTTTCCAGAAAGACAGCATTTTCCTAGAATATGGCATATTTTTCAGGTGTTCGACTGAAATCTCAAAAAGTCTCGAAAAATATTTTCCGTTGTTTAGTATGGAAAAGATTTTCCTCCTTACAATACTTGTAATAATTTTTTTAAAATATTTTTAATTTTCTTTTTCTTCTTTTTCCTTCTTCTTCTTCTTCGGCCACCCCCGGCGGCGGCCGGTGATCGGCCATAGGTGAGCTCGAGCTCGCCAGATTCCGACGAGGTTGAGCCTCGCCACATTTGGCAAGGTGGGCGAGGCTCAAGCCCTCACCGAGGTCACCAGACGTAGGCGAGGCCCAAGCACGCTGGCCTAGGGCGAGCTCGAGCCTCGCCGGCCTGTGGTGAGGCTCGAGCTCGCTTGTGGCTGGCGACCGACCGGAGAAGATGATAGAAAGGAGAAAGAAGAAAAAAGAAAAGGAAAAAGAAAAAAAGAAAAAAAGAAAAAATAAATATAATTTTTTAAAAAAGAAAATAAAAATAATTATAATGAACGATGAAAGAAGGAGGGGAGGAAAATGATTTCCTCTTTTCAAAAAGTGGAAAACATTTTCATCACTTTTGAAGGTGTTTTGTCCACTGAAGGAAAATATTTTCCACGGTTAGTTTATTTTCTGCCCTCCAAACATAGGAAAACCTGGAAAATATTTTCCTAGAAAACATTTTCCACGAAACGAACGGACCCTTATGTCCCTATTGTTTGTCTCCCTTGGTATTTATTTTTGAATCATCACACTTATACATTTTCTGAAAGTCATCTTGCCAACTGGCCTCTCTACTCCAGATCTACCCTCGTCGGCTACTCATTGGCGGCTAAAGTCGCGCAAGGTGAAGACATTTTCGGATGAAAGTTTAACACGGGTAAAGTTGGAAGAAAAAAAAATATTAACATTTCGGAAATGCTCATAATCCATAGTGCTTCCGGATCTGCCTTAGGTTAAAGGTATCTTGAAATGCAATTGCATTTTTCCAAATCTCTTTAAAAAATATATTTGCCCAAGGGACTTTTATAGTCCAAAGCCCATCGAGAAAGTAGTCCCAAAACTTACCCATACTCATTTGTCTTCCAAGAAAACTTCATTTGGTACGAGGAGCTCCATCTTTAATCAGGTGATGTTCCATCTTTTAATTTAGGCTCCATTAGTTTTACGGAAAACAATTTCTAAGAAAATATTTTTCGAATTTTTCGGCGTACGGTTCATGAAAAATAAACTAGTAAAAAAAAACATTTTCCGCTAATGGAAAAAACATATTCAAAAGTGGGGAAACTGTTTTTCGCTTTTATCCATCCTCTTTCTTTCACCTCTAGACCCAGCACTTTCTTTCACTAAATACCTTTTCCTTTTATTTTTTTTTTAAAAAAAATTGATTTTTTAATTTTTTTTTCTTTTTCCTTTTCTTTCCTTTTCTTTTTGCTTCTTTAGTAGCCGGTGGCGGTGGCCGGTGATTGGCTACAAGCGAGCTTGAGCCTCGCCACAGGCTGGCAAAGCTTGAGGCCAGTGTTCGCCAAAGCCTTGCCTAGCTCACTGGGTCTAGCGAGGCTCGAGCTGGCCCGATTGGCCTTGGGCGAGCTCAGGCCTTACCAGAGGTAGAGCCTCGTCGACCTTTGGTGAGCCTTGCCAAGCTTGCCGGAATTGGGCTAGCTCGACCCTCATCGGTTGTGGCGAGGCTCGAGCTCGGATGTAGCCGGTCGCTAAGAAGCAAAAAGAAAAGTAAAGTAAAGGCAAAAAAAAAAGAAAAAGAACAATAATTGCAAAATAAAAAATAATGAAAACTTTTACTCTTTTGGTAATTTTCCCAAAAAAATCAAATAAGACACCAAACGGCGGAAAATATTTTTTAGTTCATTTTCAGGTTTCAGCCGAACACCAAAAAATATAATCATTTTCTTGAAAAACATTTTCCAGAACGTTATATTTTTCGCAAAACGAACGAACCCTCAATGAAAATAGCACAGAAGGACCCAGGACTTGCAATGATTCCCATCTTCAACCACGTCCTAGAAATTTAAAATAATTCGTGAAATTTCTTTGCCATAACTATAATAACTCCACTTTTGAAACCACCAATTTCAAACGTAACTCCCCCCCACAACATTTTCCCAATTATCAAGATGCAGCACAATGAGTGGAATCTCATTATTGCAAGTCAAGCTCAATTGTGTGATTTACATTTTGTTTAATTAGACACAGCTAACAATTTAACACCCACCAAAGAGAAAATCAATCGAGCTCAAATCCTCTTTTCCATGAAATTGAACATCTAGGAAATTGAATTTCGGGCAATATTAATGAAAATTACGAGAAATTACATGAAAAAGGGGAAACATGGGGGACATAACCCATACGCAAGAAATGACAACCCCAATAAAGAGTGATGTCTCATCCAAAAAGCAAAATAGAGAGAGAGAGAAAAAAGGAATATTCCCCAAACAAAATTAGGTGTACCGATTGGTGGTCCGCGGGTGGACAGGATCCGACCACGTCACTCCATAACTTTAATTTTGCCAAATTGCTATTTTTGCTCTTTTTTCTGCTTTTTTTTTTAAAAAAAATTATTTCCTCTTAAATTTATTTATTTTTGGAACAATTTGATTCTTGATATTATATGCTCCCTCATCTCTTTGTTGTCTATCGCCATCGCCACCAACCCCTCCGAAACTTTAGCCGTGTCTCTCTCTCCTTTTTGCCCCATTCAAGAGTCAAACCTCACAATGAGTGACATTCCACAGCGGGGGCGCACTACTCATCATTAATGTTATTATTACCATTACTCCCTCTTCTTTCCTTTCCTTTTAAACTTTTTCTACCCGAATATGTAATGGCCTGAAAGAGGGAAATTATTCTATCGATTTTAGACTTCTAACTTTACCAATTTAGTTCTGAACCTTTGCTCGAGATTCCGATACAATCCTTTCGGCCAATTCTCGCCGGAAATCATCGACGTGGCGGTTTGGTCATCGCCGGCCGTCCTGCGGTGCATCCCGCCACGTCATCGATTTTCGATTAAAATTGACTGGAATGACTATATTGGAACTTCTCGTAAATGTTTAGGACTCAATCGACGAAATTGAAAAATTTTATGGACTAAATTAACATATGTGCAGCAGGTTGAGCACCGATCGGACAATTTTCCGGTCCAAACTAATATGAATCACATTACAGGACAAAGGGGCCTCTGAGACGAGAGAGATTCCACGGGGGTGAGCTAGAGCTATTACCCAGAATTAGAATCTCTCTAGGTATTAGGGCTTAATATTCCGAAAGGATATTATTGTTGAATGGGATTCCATTTCTCCATGGGTTGCATCACAAAGCATCTTTGGTGCTCATCATTGGTTTTTTGCACACCGCAGACAGGGCAAAAGGTGATGGGGGTGACTTCGATACTGTTCGGATTGGATCCCGTAAGGATAATTCAATTGGGGGTCAGCCGACAAATCAGACCATAACCGCACGTTTCTTTCGGATGGTATTCGGGTTGTCGGCCATAAGTTATTTCGCTTTTGAAATTTTTCGTATTAATGACGTGGAATTAATGTGCAAATTTTAAACAAAAAAAACATACATGAGCTTTAGTATTACCATAAGTGGTGTATGCGGTGGTGCCGCAATAGTTTTTTCTGTGGGCTTTACTAGCATAATAATTTTTAAGTCACTTTAAGGGTAACAGCATATTGCGAGTCACTAATTCTTGAAAAAATGGATCACATAATAATTTATTATTTATTTTTTGTAATCTAGAACATGTCGTTAATCTCATAATAGATTAAGGACCGTCACTTGATCAATTCTCTTTTCCTCTTTTCGATACTCCCAAGAGATTACTTAATGAGGTCGAGCTGCGATTGTCTTAGCATACTTGTCTAGAGGTGAACGGTCGTCGAAAACCCTGAAATTTATAGAAGAGAATGTAAACGAGTTCTAGATCTTTTGATTGGTACCCTACATTCCGCATTTCGTTAACAAAAATATGAAGGCCGGAATATAAACATTTACAAATTTTTCAGTCAATTGTTTCAAAAAAAATATTATATAAAGAAGGGTTAATATCACAAAAAATCCTAAATTATACCCATTGTGACACAAATATCCCGAA